GTGGTAGCCGAACGCTACACGTTCTACTCACGTGTTCAGCGTCCCAATGAAAGTATTGCTGATTTTATGGTAGCAATTAGGCATTTATCAAGCACATGTAACTTCAAAGGACCTTGCCTTTGAACCTAGTTGGCCAATTTCATAAGCTCAAATGCTATCGTTGTGCGAAAGAGCACAAGGCTCATGAATGTCCTTATATAAATTTTAAATGTAATATATGTAAAAAAATTGGACACCTTGGTAAGGTGTGTAGGTCGAAGGATGTGTCTGATAGGCCTAGGACTAACAAAAAAGTGTTTAAGGTTCACAATGTTGAAGAGACATCGGAAGTTTTACAGGACTTATGTCTGTATAGTGTAGGCCTTGGAGATGGAAAGGCGGGTTATGAAGTAGGGTTGCTGATTGAAAACCATAATGTGACCATGGAGCTCGATACAGGCAGCGCCCTTACGGTCTGCCCTTTTGAGTCGTATCGGAAATATTTTTCACATCTGGCTTTAAAGCCTTGTTATGTAAAACTACTTACCTATTCAGGAAATGAAGTAAGTGTGTTGGGACAGATTTTGGTTAGAATAAAAGCGGCCAACCAAATTTATCAGGACTTGCCGTTAGTTATTGTAGAGTTAGGCCAAACGGGTCAACCAATGTTGCTAGGTAGAAACTGGCTTGAACATGTAACCTTAGACTGGAAGTCTATATTTTCTCAAGATAAAACTGTAAACCGCTCTGACGAGCACGTTTTCAATAGGCCTAGCCTAAACTCTATTGACAAGTTACCTAACCTAACTTCACTTCAATCAGCTGACTCGGTTCAGCCTAGGGCCAAGGAAGATGTTAAGCATTTAAGGCAAAAGTTTTCTTCTGTGTTTGAAGGAAAATTAGGTTCAATCAAGGGTGTGAAGACACATATAATTTTGAAAGATGGAGCTGTACCGAAGTTCTGCAAATTTCGTCCAGTGCCGTTCGCACTTCGCAAACAAGTGGAAGAGGAAATAGACAAGATGGTGGATGATGGAGTTGCTTATCCTGTTTTGAGTTCCGACTGGGCAACCCCACTGGTTGTTGTGCCCAAGCCTACAGGAGTTAGGCTATGCGGGGACTTTAAGGTAACGTTAAACCAAGTTATCCAAACTGAACACTATCCTTTACCTCAACCCGAGGATATTTTTGCTTCATTATCTGGTTGTTCTGTGTTCTCTGTTATTGATTTACAGACAGCCTATCTTCAACTGGAGGTCGCTGAGGATTCACAGGAGTTGTTAACCTTGGCAACACATAAAGGATTATTTCGTCTTACTCGTTTGCCATATGGCCTATCCAGTGCACCTGCTTTGTTTCAGGCAGCTATTGATGAGATAATTAAAAATCTTCCCGGTACGGTAGCGTACCTTGATGATGTCTTGATTGGCGGACATTCATACCCTGAAGCAGTGTCTAGGTTGGAGCAAGTTCTTCAACGCTTCCAAGAATACGGAGTGAAGGTTAACGATAGTAAATGCAAATTTTTACAACCTGTTGTAGACTATTTAGGTTATAGGTTGTCGGCTGAAGGTATAAGTCCACGAGAAGGGCTAGTGGAAGCCATCAAGGATGCCCCGGAACCATCAAGTAAGGAGGAGTTGAGATCGTATATAGGACTCATTAATTACTATGGTAGATTTATTTCCAATCTTTCTGATGAGCTGTTTCTATGAGTTGTTGAAAAAGGATGTTCCTTTTGTTTGGTCTAGGAAATGTGCTGAAACTTTTAAACAGAGTAAACACTGGGTGTTATCTTCTGATATTCTTGTACATTATGATGTCAATAAGCCACTAGTGCTTACATGTGATGCAAGCCCTCGAGGCGTGGGGGCGGTGTTGTCCCATTTGATTGATGGCGAAGAGAGGCCTATTGCTTTCGCCTCTAAAACTCTAAGTCAAAGTGAGAAAAATTATTCTCAGCTTCATAGGGAAGCCCTAGCATTAGTATTTGGTGCTAAGAAATTTCATAAGTATATTTACGGGAGAAAACATGTCATATTACAGAGTGACCACCAGCCGTTGGCTACTATCTTTGGCTCAAAGCGAGGAACTCCAAGCCTAGCCGCAGCACGCCTACAGAGATGGGCCCTGATTTTGGCTTCGTATGACTTCGAAGTGAGATATCGCAAGGCGTCTGATGTGCCACATGCCGATGCCTTATCCCGGTTGCCGTTACCGGCAAGTGATTCACTGGAACTGGAAAACAACTTTATCTCGCACACTCAGGAATGCGTGGAGGTACTAAACTGCTTCAGCACGGTGAGTACCGAATCACCTATCACTTCTAAGGAAATTGCTAAATTCACTGGTACTGATCCTATATTATCTAAAGTAAGAGATTATGTTTGGCACGGCTGGTATGGCGCTGTGGATAAAGAGTTATTGCCTTATGTAAAAAGGAAAGATGAACTTTCTGTGGATAGTAATTGTCTTCTGTGGGGGGCCCGTGTGGTCATTCCGACAAAATTGAGGAATCAAGTTTTAGAATTGCTTCATGATCAACATCCAGGCATTACACGGATGAAGCTGTTATCACGTAGCTATGTGTGGTGGCCCGGTATAGAACAAGGTATTGAAGAAACAGTGTCTTCTTGTTATATTTGTCAGTGTACGAGGAATGCAGCTCCAAAAGTCCCTCTCCAGCAGTGGCCCCGTGTGTATGGCAGATGGCAACGGGTGCACATAGATTTCGCTGAAGATACTAATTCTAGGCAACAAATGTTAGTACTAGTAGACAGTTTTTCCAAGTGGATCGAGGTGTTTGTTATGAAATCTACTAGTTCTCTCAAGACCATTGAGCGTCTCCGTTCACTTTTTGCATCGTATGGGCTTCCGGACACTCTAGTATCTGATAATGGTCCTTCTTTTACAAGTTTTGAGTTCAAAGAATTCTTAAAGAAGAATGGAGTAAGGTTTGTCTTATCACCTCTTTATCATCCTGCGTCAAATGGTGCGGCCGAGCGGTGCGTTCAAGAAGTGAAGAAGAACCTGTTGAGACAGGTGTTGAGTGAAGGTGGTACTGGTTCTCTGACTTTGCAACATAAACTTGATAACTTCCTAATGACATACAGAAATACACCTAACACTGTAACCGGACTTACCCCGGCAGAATTGTTTCTCAACTGGAAACCTAAAACTAGGCTTGCACTTCTCAAACCTAACCTCAACGCTCGTATTGACACGAACCTGGACAGACAGAAGGAGAGTTCGGATAGGCATAGGGGAAGGGCAAGGTCCTTTGAAGTTGGAGAGAAAGTGTTCGTCAAAACTGTCAGGCAGGAGAAAATCGATTGGGTACCTGGAAAAGTTCTGGAGGTAAAAAGTTCTGTAATATATCTTGTTAGTGTATTGGGAAAAGTTAGGCGTTGTCATGCTGACCACCTCAGGTCTAGAGTGAACACGGAAGAGGAGGGGATAGCAGTGCCAAGTTGTGAGCCAAGGTCTCCCATGAAACCAGTACTTCCTGAGCGAGAGGAAACTTCAGAGGACAAGGAGAGGCAGCAAGTTTCGCCCAGGCGGCAATCTCCATTGAAGGACCCTGAGACTGCAGCGGTTCAGTCAAGGCATGAAGATCCACCTGCGGTAGTGCAGTGCAGCCCGCCCAATCTTAGAAGGTCAAAAAGGACAATACAAAAGCCTGAAAAGCTAGACCTTTAAGCTTTTCAGGCAGAAGTAAGAAGAGTTTATTTTAGTTTTATGAGAAGAATTTTTAAGTTGGAATCAAGGTTTAATTAATAAAAATGAAAAAAAGAAATTATTATGAAGAGAAAGTTTTATGTTGGAAGAGTATGTTATTTGTGGTCTTACAGCAGTAGTGTGGGCCTAATCTAAATGGTGGCGAGTGTAATATAGTAGCAATAGTACCATATTAGATTATTAGTAACCGGAAACAGATTAAGTTACTGGGTGGCTGCACTGCCTACATCGGCGTGGAGCTCCCTGATTGGCTGCCGATCGGTCAAGGAGTTTTCCGTCTTGATGATCGTCACTTCAAGTCTAGCAAGGTGTGTTACTAGATGTCGCCATGTTTACCTTATAGTTATAGTAGTTATCACAGATATAATATTATTATCATAAGATAATTCAACAGTGGAGTTTTGCCTATTCTGAATTGTTTGAAATAACATCACCTGTGTTTTAGAATTATTAAGTTTTAGCCCGTTGGCTGTAAACCAATTAGATAAATTAAGAATAGAAAGACTGATTTCTTGTTTAAGATTTTGCAAATTATTTGATTTAACTATTGCTGTAGTGTCATCAGCATATAAGATAAGGTTAGACGATACATTTCGAGGTAACTCATAATAAAAATTAAAAATAGCAAGGGGCCTAGTACTGACCCTTGCGGAACCCCACATTTAGTGTTAAGCCACTGTGAAATACATTTTTTACCATTTTTTACGATTATTGTTCTTTGATGTCTGTTAGTCAAATTGAACTGTCTTTGCCTTTGAACATATGATTATTTTAACAACGATTTTGAAATAATTATGATGTATCTATACAAATAATCAATTCGTGTTCCCTAACAACAAAAATTAAGAGATTCTCTAAATAAAAATAATTTTTTCCTTTTAATTTTCTTTTATTTCTTACTAGTAATTTAAAACACTTTCTTTTGGTTTTATCTCAGACTCTGTGGGATAAAGGCTAGGCCTTTTTAACCCTTTTCAGGTTCCTACGTGTAACCCTGTATGTGAGCAGGGTGGTACTACTTAATTTATCTACTTATATTATTGCCTTTTAAGTAGTGTGAACCCACAGAATCACTTCTAAATCACAGGTTCCCAACCAAACCCCACTGACTAGGGCGGTGATGACAAGTTTTGCGTCTACCCTACGAGATTTTGCCGGCAGAAAATCTGGGTCACAACAGGATAATATGGGAGACTACTAAAATATAAACTTTTAGATCAAAGCATGAAAATACATTTTGTAGGCCAAATAAAGTGATTAGAAACAACATACATATAACCTACCTGTTGCATGTTGGTTTTCCTTTCAGTTTCAACTGTTCTTGCCAAATGCTCATTTCCGTTTGATTTACTAGATTTCATCTGATTTTTAAAAGATTCCCAGCGGCGCATGATATCTAGTAAGCTCTTCTTCTCTTCATTTAAGCGTTGAGTTATATGTTCCAGGTCAAAATCAAGTAGTTCTTTATCCTGAAATTAAGAAGGCAAATTTTTAGGTTTACAAAATGGTGAAAAGGAAAAAGGATAAACCATTAATACATTGATGGGAATAGTCACAGATTCAACAATTCATATAAATTCAATTCAATTAATTCATCACAGAAATGCATAACAAAATGGCTGAGGTTCAGCAATGAAAAAAAACCCTACAAAAAATTGACATAAAAAAAACAATACGATCAATGCTTAGTTTAAAGTATGATGCTCACCGTAAAAACATTTTATTAAGTTTGGTATTATGTCTGTTTATAGACTTACATCAACAAAACTGTACTTCACGTTAAACATAACATTTAATTTCCATCTTTACCAGGAACATTGGTTATCATAATTATAACTAGGGATGGACGGGTCCAGGAAATTTTCGGGAAAAATATAGGCTACTCCCAAAAATTGGGAAAAGATTAGATTTGCTGCGGTATTATTCGTTCCGATCGTCGGCGATTTCGCCGTGCCACGGCTGACGATGATCACGTTTTCACAATTGCGGAAGATGTCGCAGGTATGGCAGCTGGCCTTGATGATGTCACTGCGAGTGCGAGAGATGATCTTGATGTTTCTGCAAACTCTAGAGACGATGGTGATGTCTCCATGAACGCATGAGATCTTCACGCTGACTACGTGACCTTGAGACATGTAACGGTGGCACCGTAAATGCCGGACATGTTGAAGATCGCAACACGAGCAAGGGACATGTTGACGATGGGGCCGTGATCGAATTATCCCAATTGATTTGCATAATTAATTGGAGTGCTACTGTAAATAGGTTTGCTGCTACAAAGAAGAGAAATGTGTTTTTTTTGTTTTTTTTTATCAAATATTAATAAATAGTATAGGATGAAACAAATAAATTTGCCAAATTTAATCAAAATATATCCATAAACAAGTAAATTACAAGAATGAGTGTTTCTCCATAAGAATAACATAGAAATTATGTACAATTTTATTTTATTTTCTAAGTAACCTTTGATCGCACAAAAATGTTGTAATATAGAAAACTGTTCCTTTAGTAAGCTCTACTTCGATGGCTGTAATAAAAATTGGGTATTTCCATGTTTTAAGGGTAAAAATTTGAAAAAAACTATTTCTGAAAAACTTAAAAACCCCATAAAAACCCCCATGACCCTATCTTGCTGGTTCATGAACTCATCAAGCTCTACACATTCGTGCCAAATTTTATCAAAATCGGACCAAAACTACACAAGTTATCGTCTTCCCCCAAACACAATAACTTGATAAATATTATATACGATATACATATGTATATATATATGGAGGTATGCATATATAAAATTTGAATGAATAGTGTTTTTGGCCTCTGGGGGATATCACAATGATAAAGCAAATCGGTCCCGAGTCTAATGCTTTACAATACTCCAATGATGAAAGGTTAAACTGTTTTATAACCCTAAATAATTCTTCTAACTTCAAAATCTATACCACTTTACCTTACTAATTTGTGACTCATCAAACTCAAAAATCTATACCACTTTACCTTACTAATTTGTGACTCATCAAACTCATGTGGTTCCAAATCCCATCTCTTTTTTCCAGATTGATCTTTGCGCTCTTTGCTTGTTTGGCTGCTTTGCGCCGTGGTCGTAGTTTTTCTGATACAACCAGTGGATGTCTCAGTAGTTCTATGGTTACTGGCCCCGGCCGCTCCAGTTTGCTGTATTCCATCAATTCAATTTAATTCAAATATACTTTATTCAATATAAAATATACAAGAGTATACATGAACGGCATACAGAAGTACATCTTTACATAGAAAAATAGTAACAAGAAATAAAACCAATATATATTTATGTGAACTTACTTTCTACTTTTTTATTTTTCTTGAGTTTGATGAATTTATTATACCAAGGAAAATTCTTCAAAACTATATGCCGCTTTGTTCACAAGAAATCTTTAACATTCTAGCCCTTTCACTCTTTTCAGCCAGGGCTGGTGCAAGGAGTTTTTATCCAACATGTGAGAGTAATCTCTGGCACCCCCTCAATATACACAACTCAACATATATTTTACTCTCTAAATTGCCTTTTTTTATTTAATCTGCAACAAACTAAAATTAGCAAATGGGAGAATAGGTGTGGTTTATGGTGAAAGGCAAGAAGTTTATGTTCAACTTCTTTACTATCCAACAGTGGAAATTTGAGCAGTGTACACTCTAGTGTGATGAAGTGTATTTTTGAATTCCAACATTGTTTAAGTTTGTTATTTTCCGTTTCTCATTCTCCAGGTTGCTATGGTATTAGGCAACCAATTGTAAATGGAATAAATACATTGGAACAGCAGAAAATATGTCATCTGTTGTAAAAGGACCAAAGACAAGTTACAACACTTACCAAATGACAGAAAGATTTTATTTCAGCCATGCTCATTCTCCCTTCTTTTCAACAGGGTACTGACTCAAATTTGAAAATTAAATTCAACGTTTTTCAAGGTTATATTTGCATATTTTTGTGACATAAGGGCCAACGGTGTTTGTTTATTTTGATAATGAAAAAATAAATCTTAGCAACACAGCTAAATTTTTAGGAATTGATGTAGATAGTTTATTGAATTGGAAGAATCACATTCATAACACCTCTAAAAAGTTAAATTCAGTATGTTTTCAAATGTTGGTCTTAAGAAATGTTGTTGATTTAAACACTAGACTAATGATTTATCACGCTTTATTTTCGTCAATTTTACAGTATGGAATAGAGCTTTGGGGCGTCACACCTGATTCGTATCAACTTTTTAAACTTCAAAAAAGAATACTTAGAATTATGACTTTTAAACCCGTAAAACATTCTTGCAAACAACTTTTTAAAGAACTAAAGATTCTAACCGTCCCTAATTTGAATATTCTTAAATGTTTATTGTATGTGAAATCAAATTTTGAAAAACTCCACAGTGAAAATAATCGGCACAATTATAACACTAGATTTCATACAGATTTTCAATATCCTATACACAGATTAAATCTTGTGGAAAGGACACCTTCTTATATGGGTAAAAGATTTTTTAACAATTTGCCTGGGTACTACAAATCTATAATAGGATTAGTATCTTTTAAAGAAAAAGTTTTTGAATTTTTATTGCAAAAGAATTATTATAGTATTGGTCAGTTTCTTGAAGATAAATCAATGTGAATTGTTTGTTTTGTTACCTACTATGTATTTATTTTTACCAATATAAGCTAGTTTATTTTAGTATAGTTTGACAATGTCACCTGTTTTGTCTGGCTGTGCCAGAGCATAAAAAAAACGTTTTGTGACAATAAAGATGACTTTGACTTTGACTTTTAGGCCAGGTGCAGGCGGAATCACCGCAGCGACACATCGGCTTTGTGGACAAACCAAGGCAGGGGTATCACAGAAATTTTCTTGTTGTTGTTTTTAGTCGACATACTTCAGGCACATCAAATGTGATTCCAACTCCTGACCAAAATAAGTTACCAACTGCTGAAAGCTCCTATGATATAAAATCAAGCTGAGCCAGCGATCGCAAAAACCATCTGCGAATATTACACGATTGGATATACCAGATGTTGCCACAATCGCGGAAGACTAATATAATGTCTCCATGATCACAATTTTACAGCAAATCCAAAGACACAAGTACTGAGGATTAACATTCCTTCAAAACCAGAACCGGCCCATCTCTATTTTCAAGGTTTGTCCACAAAATTCACGGCATGTTCTCAGGTTAGTTATTTGGTCTAGTGAGTGTTTAATCCATAGTCAAATTATGAATTATAAAAAAAAACAATTAACTGTGTTCCACCCTGTATACATAACCTTAAAATAAGAATGAACAGATTATAACTAGCTATATAAGAACCAACCGTTTGCTGATAATAGGGCATGGGTTGAGCCATCTCCACTCTCGTAACTACTTGGACTGGTTGGACGGGGATATTTACAAGAGGTGGGTAAACTGCCGACAGAGCCAACCCTCCTGGAAAAAATAGCAAGAACTTTAGTTTGATCAAAAGAGTTTTAGTGTACACTGTTAATACTGATTTTATTTCTGTGTACACCAGAATTGCGTTAATCTCAACTTCTTGGGACCAAACCCTGTTTGGGCAATCCAATTTTTGATTTTGCTGGAAATTAATAAAGTTGATCATTTCCCAGCAATAGTGTTGTTCCTACAACATTTTACGACAGTGTAACATGATGTAGTAATCGTTGTGGAAAACCAATGGGACACCATTAATGAATGGGCCATAGGCTTCTATACACAGTTGACAAACTTTTCTCAGTCATTAAAGTTGAGTCGGATTTCTCGGTTTTCTGGTCAGCTGGACACTCTATTTGGTATTTCAGAACAAGTGGTGTAGTCAAAAATCCCTATGAGTATGTTAAGTTAAATTTTTATTTGTTACTTATGTAACAATACATATAAATAACTTATCCATCTTTTAAATTCCATACTTGAATAGCGAGTTGCCCACAATAGATTGGTATTTAGTAAGTCAATTCCTTGAGTTAGTTTAGTTTTAAAATGCGTGAATGGCTTGAAGACTACCTACTTTCTATAATGACATGGTTATTTCCAAACAGTAATTTAAAATTTTTCTTCAGCACTTATAACTTTTATCTACGTAGACAACTTGTATCAGTTTACTTTAAATAATGCAACACTCATGGGGTTAGGAAGGTGTTAGACAACTGAAAATATTAATAAGTATGGATTATTAAAAATTGTACTAAAATTAACCTATAAGCTAAAAAAGTCTATGATATTTTTTTTTACTTTTCCAAGTTTTCTACTTAATTTTCAAACAGCCAAGTTAATGTTCCACTATAATCTAGGCAGTTTTATGGGAGCATGCTGTTTAGAAGCGCGTCATAGTCTGTGAGAGTGTAACCGTACCAGCTTGCATACGGGCAGGAATTGTTGCGGAGGTCTGATTAACCACAGAGCGTTATTTATCTTGTATCATGATTGTGAGAGGGCTGACTCTCCGTAATTGTATCCAAGTTACTCTTGACCATCAGAGAAATATAATGAATATAAGAGCTGTATAAAGTGAGAATTTTGAATTTGCTGAAATAGGCTGAAATATTCTTGGCAATGTGTATCTGGAGGAACCTTGGCTATATGTCTAATCGCCCTTTTTAGAAGAATAAACACTTTTTTGCTTTCACTAGATGATCCCCATAAAATAAGTCCGTAATTCATAATTGAAGCGAAATAAGCATGATATACTGCAATTTGTGTATCAAAATTAGTTGTATCTCTAATTACTTGCAACACAAATACAGCTGAATTAAGTCTTTTTGATAAATTTTTAATGTGAGTTCGCCAATTTAAATGTGAGTCTATTCTTATTCCTAAATAATCAACTGAATCTTGAGAAACTATCAAATTTCAGTTTGAATTTAGGGTGATCTTGTCTTTTATATTGGAGGAGAGAATTGTATCAGCTGTGTTTTGGATACATTCATGGAGAGGCCGTTGACAGCAAACCAGTCCTCAAGATAATGGAGCTCTCTGGTGATTGTGTGATTAATGTCGACACCTTTTTGCTCTTTGCAAATGATTGCTGTGTCATCTGCATACTGAAATATTGGCATTTTTTATACACTTCCTAGGTCGTTTACAAATAAAATGAATAGACATGGTCCAAGAATTGATCCTTGAAGCACTCAAAATGGAACATCCTTCCAATCTGACATGTAATTGTTTTGAAATTTGTTTATTATTATCCTTTGTTTGCGGTTTTTCAGATAAGAAGCAAACCATTGTAATACTATATTTGTTATTCCATGTCTACTTAATTTTTCAAGAAGTTTTCCATGATCAACACAGTCAAAGGCCTTGGACAAGTCACACGACACTCCCACAGTCTGCTGTGCTCCATCCAAGGCCCCAGCAATATTGTTGATCATGTCGGTTACTGCTTTTTGAGTGTTAAGATTAGGCCGGAATCCAAATTGAGAGGGGTTGATTAAATTATTATTTTCAAAATATTGTACTAGTTGGTTTTTGACAATTTTTTCTAAAAAAATTTAAAAGCAAGGTAGCAACGCAACAGGACGATAATTAGAGGGATTATTAACATCACCTTTCTTAAATAAACGTTTTATTTCTGCATATTTGAGTTTGTCTGGAAATACACCATGCTCCAGGGACTGGTCTACTATTCTGCAGAATGTACTCAAAAACATAAAAACACTTTTTTACTTCAAAAAGATAAAACAATCAACCCAAAAACAATTAACACAAAAACAATAAACAAAAACAATTAGGCGTACGGATCCGTATCCATGGTTAGTGCAAGGTAAAAGTAGCATTTGTTCAATATAGTACGTTGTGCCGATTTCAAATCAAAAGGTTTAAAATCCGCGCCAAGGCAATGGACAAGTCGTCCAACCATGACGTAACGCACGACAGCAAAGGACTCGAATTGAGGCGTGTGCACTCCTCACTCGTAGTCGCGCCCAACGATATAAACAACTCATGGATTGCTGGCTCAGTGTTGGCCGCGCGGTCGAGCTTCCCCCACCATCTACTGGCAGAAGCCGGCGCAGCCCATACATTCACCATTATAAAACGCACTTTTTATTTGCTGCTCTGTTGAAATTTATAGGGATAAAATATTGCTAACGCTTGTCAAACTCTTTTTACTAGTTAAACCTTTTATGTCTGTTATATGTCTTTGTTTCTTGCAGAAAATAGCCCATCTGAATTCTTTAAAACTACAAATTCACTAAACCCGTTTTGTAGATGTTTTTAGACAACTGATATTGCTAGTTCCAAATTGTACATGGTAAAATAATAAGTGATTACAAAGGTGAAATAGAAAGTACAATATTTGTAATTGAAATTCTATTTTATTAATCAAAAAATAGTACATAAAAATTTAGAATAATTTTTCTAAGTTTTTGCCGAAGTGGTAACGTTATGTTTGACGTAAACGCGATATTTTTTTCTTTCAATGTTTAATGACAATGTATCTTACAAAATAGGTCATAAAAAAGAATGCCTATCACGCATAGATTTGCGGTAAAAACTGGACATATGTAGTATTGTTTTTAAGAGTTCAAATGTGTTATTTTCTGCAAGAAAAGAAGAAGAGTTTAGAATAGTAAAAGTGTTTGGCATGCATTAGCAATATTTTATATCTATATATTTAAACAGAGCAGCAACTTAAAAAGGTGCGTTTTACAATGGTGAGTGTATGGGCTGCGTCGGCTACTGCCAGTAGATGGTGGGGGAACTAGACCGAAAACAGCGCCCGCAGTGCTACTGAGAGCGCAATCCAGTAGTTTTTACATCGTTGGTCGCGCCATCAACAGCAGAGGTCGCCATGTCACCGGTGTGGGGCAATATTATTAATATCTTAAAATCGTAGCTCAAAAATTCGCGTTCGGGTGAAAATTGTACGTGCATCAAAGTATCGCAACTGTCAAAATTTTGCCAAACTGCAATTGGGGGTGTGTTTTATTAGTATTAAGTCGAGACAGTTGAGATGCCGGATTGATTGTTTGCGTTCGTGATGAAAATTCGTACATGCATCAAATTAATAGCAAATGTCAGTTTCTAGCGAATCGTAGATCGTCGTGACGGTATTTTCAATTGATTCAATAACCGCCAGCTCGAAAAACAAGAATTATTAAGTCCTACACCGGGAAAAACCGTGTCATGAAATTTTGCTCGGTCAGACAAAGTACTACGAGTCAGATTGTAAATGTTCCATCCGTGTGAATCTTTCGTCAGTGTGAATGTAAATGTGTCGACATGTGTACGTAAGTAAATGTTTTGTGTTATTTGTGTTTTAGAAATAATTTAGTTCTGCCAATCTGCCATTTTTTCACATGTACAGTTCATATTTACAAGTCAGAAATCATGTCACAGTTGGTTCGAATATTTCATGTTTCATTTGGCTAGTCACAAATTCAGGATAAAATGTTTCATTAAATTTTGTCATGTTATACAAAGAGTTTAGGCTGAAATAGTAATTCTAGTCAAATGAAAATTATTTATTACATTGAATTGAAATAGGCAATTAGTTTTATGAGTATTGATTATCTGTGATATAGTATTATTTTTATGTTCTATGTGAGGGTCAAATTCTACCATTGTCAGTATAACTATTTATAACGTTTTGTATTTCATATATTGTAATAATTTTGAACAGAGTATCACATTTTTAATAGTAAGAGTTTGATTGTGTAAAGTAAATGGGGGAAACAAAGCACTCGGTCGAAGGCTAGGGTTGATATAGGGTCATAAGGATAGACTCCCATTAAATTCACAAAGAATCAATATTAAATAAAAGTTATCAAGTATTCGACTCAGTAAACCCCCCGTTTGGCAGTTTACAGATTGGCAGTTACAGTTTACTCAGATTGGTCCCGTTGCACTGATCAACAAGGTGATGTAGATCACAAACCTACATAATGTTCCCTGTTGTATTAAATTGTAAACTGGCCAGTTGATAAACATGTGAACATCTTTGGGGAGTATGGTGACCTAAAATAAATATATAAAATCATAAAGGCTAGGTTTCCCGAGGCTTTGTATTTTAAGATGAAAAACCACCAAATTCAATCAAACAATCAATTCTCTCATTCTGTTGTAACCATTCTATATTTTGTACAAAATGTAACTGCGTATTTATATCACAGCTCAATATTTTATTCAATACAGTATTTTTACAAATCTCTATCTCTTCATTTGCCTGCGTTTCAGCTAGTATTTTTAATATCGAATTGGTAAATTTTCTAGGTAATCGGCTTAATTGAACAAAGTATGCAAAGTATACACAATGAGTCTTGATGATCACATTTTATAAATATATTTTGACAGTGCAATTTTTACAAGTTCAGCTCATGATATTAATACCAAGTTGATGAATCTATGAGTAATCGGCTTAACTGAATCAAGTGTATATTAACATCTTGGAGTTCATACTTTTGATAAATATTTTATGAATAAACTGATAT